ATATATCATGCTAATATCAACAAAATAGATCAGATAGAACAAGAAGAAAACTGGTGAAGGACACCTCTAGTTAGGGAGCATGGCTACACAAAAGCACGCCAAGAAAATTTGAACAACAACAAAATATTTTCTACTGAAAAACCAAAAGCATTACACACCAAAGTTTACCAATTTTTAGGCCCTGCTTGATAGAGCTTCGGTCGGCCCTGGCACTTTTGTATCTCTATTGTTAAAATGGACTATGAACTGGTGAAGCCACTATTTTGGGCTATATATACCAGCTCTATCTCCTTTGCATATTATAACAAGGAGCCTGAGAGCCATGTAAAATAGAGCCATAATGGGGATCAAGCCGTAGCTCGAGTGGCAAACTTTGCAGGTGGTGCAGCAACTGGTCGTGGGTTCGAGCTCTGCTCGACTCACGATCCCCACTGGGGTTTTTCCCCATATTTAACATGTGCAGCCTCTCTCGCGTGGAGCTACAAAGGGATTGTGGCGCGCCCGTCGCCTACGGAGCCTTGGATGGTTTCGGTGATCTCCTCAAGGAAACGATCTTTAAATCTAGGTGTAGTTGTAGGGTCTGTTTATGTTCATGAGGTGTGTGTGAGTGTGTGCGGTGTTGGTGTGTGTCTGTTCATGAATAGATACTAAAGTTGTACCTAGATGAGAGGCGAAAAAAAACAGAGCCTTAATGAGACAAAATTTAAAGGAGGGTCCACAAATAATATTACTATGCTAAGTCTCAATAAATAGGCTAGGAAAAAGTTGTGCAAACAGCTCCATCGGGAAAGAGGGGAAGCAGCTCTTTAGATGTTGGAAGCCATCACTCTCCAGGATTGCTTTCAGATTTGTAGTCGTCTTCAGAAACTCAAAACATGCCTCCTTGAGTCCTTGACAACCCTGCTGCTCAGCAAGTGCCAGTGTCGTTGCCAATGTACTTGTGTTGATGTTGTACCAAAGCTTGTCCTCACAGATTAGCTTTAGCCTCTCCAACCTATACCTGTCAGCTGCAACAAGCAAATGTTGTGCCATCGCAGTCGTATCATCCCTGTCTATCTCAGAAAGGGTGTCGTTGTAGATGAAGTGGAGCATAGCCTTGAACACGCTCGCCTCCATGTCATCGATCTGTATGTGGCTCATGCTGTTCTCCTTCATTGGACCAAAGAGCTCCGCCTTGAACACTGAGACCGTGCCGGGAGCACGAGCCTATGTGCACTGAAGGTCTCCCCGTCAACCTCAAACGTGACATCAACCCCTTGTGATGACAGTAGGCCACCGATATGACAGTGCATGTCTGACGGTGGCACGGTGATGAGATGCCCAGCATGTGTGTTGCCATGACTGTTGACTGTGATCCTGAGGACGTGCAACCCCTCCACGGCATCGGCGACGACGATGGTCGACGCGTTCATTGCCTTCTTGCCTGCACCGCCGACAGGGTAGGCGACTGACCTGGACATATGGATCAGGACTCAGGAGTAGATCTTTCCCTGGATTGGTAGTGCGAAGAACACGGCAGTTTGTTCCTTGCGCACCCTCACTAGATGGGTAGATGGATCAGGACTCAGGAGATTGTTTATCTGCACACCTTGCATGCGATTGTTCAGATTCTTGTTCGATTGATTATATATATATATATATATATATATATATATATATATATATATATATATATATATATATATATATATATATATATATATATATATATATATATATATATATATATATATGAGGAAAAAATACGATGCATTACGGCGTTACGACTTTGGAGTCCGGGTCGGATCATGATACGTGGGCGTCGAGAAGACGACAATAGGATTCATAGGATGCCTTGTTAGGTCTCTCTTGCCGTTTTTGCCTTGCTACTGCCTGTCTTGGGTGTTCTTTTTACAGAAAGTCAACCTTGACATGGCATGTAACACATGCTAAGAACATCTCCAAGAGTTTCTTATTATCTTACAAAATATTTGCTGAATCATTCATTATTCCAAATGGTGGACAGGACACGGCTAGGTACTTCCAAAGTCTTGAATGTGTAGAAGCAATTTTTTTTTGGTCTTTCTTCAACTGTTGGCAACAAAATGAGCTTTCCGACTAACCCTCCGCCCCTAGCCGGACAGCACACGGCCAGGCACATCCAAAGTGCTAGGAGGTGTGGCGCCAAAGGCGGCAAAGAAAAGCGAAACAGTTGTGACATGTGTACCCCTTTTTTTTATCTGGGTAATATTTGAATGAAGAAGATAATTATTTTTCCCTGTGCGTAAACAATCATACTGATAGGGTAATTACTATTTTCCATGTGCATTCTTGTAGAACCAATGGGGCAAATAAGTTTCCATGAGTGTTTATTCACGTACAGGAAAATAATTGAAATTTCATGTGGGTTTTTGTATTGTCCTGTCAGGATTATAAAATTTGACAAGTTTATCATGAATTTTCCTATCAGTATTGCTAAAAACAACACAAAAAATTGTTACTCACAGGGCAATTCGCGTTTCATGATTGTAATTTGGCACGCACAGTGAGAGTATCTCACAATCGGCAAAATATTTTCATTTTGTCTTATGAAAGTAATTGCCACAAAAATTCAACACCACCATTATTTTGTCTTATTGAAGTGATTTTTTGCTTCCTAAACTTCAGTGCTCCTGTATCTCATATGTGTTCCAGAATTATAACCTCTCTGCTCATACAAGTCAATACGGAACCAGGAGCTTTGCCGAGTGCCCCTGGCACTCGGCAAAGCCTAAAAAACACTCAGCAAAGGGTTTGCCGAGTGTGACACTCGGCAAACGACACTCGGTGAATTTTTATCGGCAAACAGACTTTGCCGAGTGTTTTTTGTCGGACACTCGGCAAACACTTCGCCGAGTGCCCACAATACAGTCGGCAAATATTTTTTTCAAAAAATAAAAAAAAGCCACCACAAACATTTTTTTCGAAAAATAAAAAAAAGCCACCACCGGCCGCCGTCGGTCTCCTCGGCGGCGCCCTTCCCCTGCGCCGCGGCCTTGCTTCACGCCCTCCGTCTCGTCTCCGCTCCCCGGCTTCACGGCCGCCGCCACAGGCCACCACCACCACGCCACCACCCGCCAGGGAAGGAGGGGGCGCCGGATCCGCGCCGCCACGCCGCTGGCTAAGGAGGGAAGGAGCATCCGCGCCGCCACGCCGCTGGGGAAGGAGGGGGCGCCAGATCCGCACCGCCACGCCGCCGGGAAAGGAGGGAAGGAGCTGGATCCGGCGAGGGGGCTCTGGGAGAGGGCGAGGACAGGACGTCGCCGCACCGGGAGAGGGAGGGGGCAGGGGGCCGCGCGCGGGAGAGGAGGGCCGCGCCGGGAGGGGGGAGGGCGCCACCACGCACGGATAGAGGGAGGCGGGGCACGCGGCGGATTTAGGGGCAGGGCGCGCGACGGATTTGACGAGAGGGTGCGCGGCGGATTTGGAGAGAGGAGGCGCGGGGCGCCCGGCGGATTTATAGTAAATTTTGTTTGCCGAGTGTTCTGGATCCGAGCACTCGGCAAACTTTTTTTTTCATTTTTTTTCTAAAAAAATATTTTCATTCTTTTGCCGAGTGTCCTAGATCTGGGCACTTGGCAAAGTTTTTTTTCATTCTTTTTCTTCTCCTTCTTTCCTAGAAAAATTATTTTATTTCTTTGCCGAGTTTCTTGCATCTGGGCACTCGACAAAGTCTTTTTTTTCATTTTTTTTTCTTCTCCTTCTTTCCGAGAAAAAAGATTTTACTTCTTTGCCGAGTGTCAAAAAAAAAAAACACTCGGCAAACCCCATCTCTGCCGAGTGTTTTTTTTTACACTCGGCAAACCCCATTTTTACCGTGTTTTTTTTTTGCCGAGTGTTTTTAGCGAAACACTTGGCAAAGAACTTATTCGCCGAGTGCCCGAGGGAATACACTCGGCAAACATAAAAACACTCGGCAAATTTGAGGATTCCGGTAGTGAGTTAGAAGAACTCGTGTCCAGTGATGATCAATACAGCATATTGGGTTACGACGTATCTTAAATGTGACATGGACTCATACTAACCATGTGAACAAATGTTGCATACAAATGTTGTAGAGAACTTACGTATGTTAGCTGTCCTAAAATTTCATGACTATAACTCATCAAGTTTGGTAGCTGCTGTTCAGTAAACAATATATGGTTATATGCTAGTGTTTGCTTACCAGTGTTTGCCAAACAAACATGTGCCTTTGATGAAACTTCAAACATCAGTCATTAAGTGTCGTCATTACCTGCGAACCGATCAGTACGTGTAAGTAACTGTAGTGAGCTGGGCCTAAAACATATAGTAAGCTTTTCCCCACAGCATGGCACCGAGAATACCCAGAGGCAAGCGTCTCAAGTAGTAAAGTAGTTACCAAGCGAACCGGGAGCAAGCTTCCAATCGCTGGCCGATTGGTTGTTTGGAAGCTCGATGATGCTGGGGAGCCAGCTCTGCCTCTATTAGTGTTGGGCCCATACAAGACAACTATCGGGGTCCTTGTAATGGACTTCATCTCCTTAAGGTTGTTGGCGTAAGCCTGCTGATGTGGGACTTGTGGTAACGTGGATAGCAGCAGAGGCAAGAGCGGGAGCGCAGGATTTCAAATCGGGGATGGCGTGGGAGCAGTTGCTGATGCTGGTGATCGTGCTCTGGACCACGACGTAGTGCAGCAGTGGCGGTTTAGCTGAAAAGTGTCATGTTTTAAATAATCTGCGTGTGTCACAGTGTATGTTAGCTATTGGTATAAATAGCATGATGCTTAGGGTATGAGTAAGTGTCTTGAACAGTTTGTAATCGGGTTTTGAATAAAAGGTGAAAAGGGGAGCCGATGCCCTGTCGGTTGCTCCTGGTGTTCATCGTAGTTCTTCCTTGTGTTCTTGAGTGTTCCCTTGCTTGTTTGATCTTACCACCGCACAATTGTATTGGTTTATGATCCTGATTCTTTAACATCTGGTATCAGAGACGCAAATCAACAAAAGTGTGAGGTTTGATCAGCCATGAGTGAAAGGAGTGGGAGCTCGGGCGGTGGCAGTGGCGGTGGTGACCGAGGCGATCGGATCAACTACCCGGCGCTGACAGCAACCAACTACACCAGTTGGTCGATCCGAGTTCAGGCGATCATGGAGGATCAGGGAGTGTGGGAGATCATGGAGCCGACGGGGGAGACGTTGGATCAGGGGGCGACGGCAGTTGCAGCGAGGAAGGCCAAAAACATCAAGGCACGGGTGCATCTGCTCCAGTGCCTGCCCGATGATCTGCTGATGCAGGTCGCCACGAAGAAGACCGGGAAGGAGGTCTGGGATTCGCTCAAGGCGAGATTCGTGGGGGAAGAGCGGGTGAAGGAGGCGCGGCTGCAGACATTGAAGAGCGAGTTTGATGGCTTGACGATGAAAGAGGAGGAGTCGATCGATGTGTATGCTGGGAAACTGACGAGCATGTCAGTGAGGTATGCAAATCTAGGCGGTTCACTTGATGATTCAGCACTTGGGAAGAAGATGTTTGATACAGTGCCTGAGAGATTCATCAATGTGATTGCCGGGATCGAGCAGTTCTATGATCTCAAGAAGCTTGCCTTTGATGAAGCTGTTGGTCGTCTGAAAGCCTTTGAGGAACGCACCAAGCGGGGAGCAGGAGGTGCCAAGTCAGACATTGGTCAAGTGTTACTGACCCAAGCTGAGTGGGAGGCTCGGCAGAAGAAGATGGGTGGAGAGAACTCAGGGAGTGGAAGAGGACATGGCAGCAGCCGTGGACGAGGCCGTGGCCGTAGTGGAGGGAACGGTGGCCGTGGCAATCAAGCAGATGGAGGGAAATATGGCTCTGGGAAGAAAGACAAGAGTCATATCAAATGTTTCAAGTGCCATCTGTATGGACACTATGCCAACAAGTGTCCAGGAGAGAATAAGAAAGAGGAAGAAGCACACCATGTCAAAGCAGTGGAGTATGAGCCTGCTGTGCTGTTTACTGAATCAGTGACATCAGAACAGGCAGATTATCAGTTGTCTGAAACTGATCAGGCTCAGGAGAGTTTGCTTCTGAATGAGGTAAAAGTTTTTCCAGAGTTGTATTTTACTGGTGATGATGATTCTGGTAGAGATGTGTGGTACTTAGACAATGGTGCTAGTAATCATATGACTGGTGAACATCATAAATTCAGAAGTATAGATAATTCTGTTAGTGGCAAGGTGAGGTTTGGTGATGGGTCAGCAGTAGAGATTCATTGTAGAGGATCCATTTTGTTCCAAGGTCCTTCAGGTGATCAATGGTTACTGAATGATGTCTATTTCATACCAAAGTTGAAGAGTAACCTAGTGAGTCTAGGTCAATTGACTAAAATAGGACACAGAGTGGTGATGGATGATGATCTGATAGAGGTGATTGAGAAAAGCAAAATGCAAACTATCATGAGAGTTCATAGATCAGTGAATAGATTGTATAAGGTTGAGCTCAATGCTGTTGAACCAGTGTGCTTCCTAGCCAATGTCAGTGATAAGTCATGGCTTTGGCATGGCAGACTTGGCCATGTCAACTTTCGGTCAATTAGAATGTTGGTGGAGAAGGAGATGGCTGGAGGGATACCCCTGATTGAGCACCCAGATCAGGTGTGTCATTCTTGTCTGACTGCAAAACAGACAAGGAAGTCATTTCCTCAGTGTGCCAAATGGAGAGCAGATGATGCTTTGGAGTTGGTACATATAGATTTGTGTGGACCCATAACACCAGAGACTCCTGGTGGCAACAAATATTTCATGCTAGTAGTGGATGACAGCACAAGATGGATGTCTGTGTTCTTTCTGAAAACTAAGGATCAAGCAGCAGCTGCATTTGCCAAATACAAGGCAGTGGCAGAGAATAACAGTGGAAATTTGATCAAGGTTGTGAGGTCAGATAGGGGAGGTGAATTTTTATCAACAGCTTTCAAGAGCATCTGTGAAGGAGCTGGGATTGACAGACAATTCACTACACCCTATTCCCCACAACAAAATGGAGTTGTTGAGAGGAGGAATAGGACAGTTATGGAGATGAGTAGATCACTGCTAAAGAGCATGAATGTACCTGGGTGTTTTTGGGCTGAAGCAGTGAAACATTCAGTGTACTTGTTAAATAGGTTGCCAACAAAAGCAATGGGCTACAGAACACCTTTTGAAGGATGGACAGGCAGAAAGCCATATCTGGGGCATCTAAGGATTTTTGGATGCAAAGCAAATGTCAGGCCAGCAGAGCCACATTTGAAAAAACTTGATGACAGGAGTATTCCTATGGTCTATTTTGGTGTAGAGGATGGAAGCAAGGCACACAGATTGTATAATCCTCAAACCAGAAAGATGGTAGTGAGTAGGGATGTCATCTTTGAAGAAGAGGTTGCTTGGGTATGGAACACTGAGCTTGGAGAAAATTCAGAGTTTTCAGAAGAAACAGTTGGTGAAACTGTTCAGACCTTTACTGTAGGTATTGGGGTTGGTGTTAATCCACAAATTCATCCAGATCAACATTCAGGGGGAGTTGGGAATGCAGGAGATAGTGTTGAGTCTACTGGTGAAGTAGGTGGGTCAGTTCAGCATGAAACTGAAACACTGTCAGATACTATTGACAGTCAGACAACAGGAGAAAATGCAAGTCCAGCTCAGAGTGACAATGTGATCCATGGTGATGTGGACATGATTGACTCAAGTGACCATGATGAAACACCAGTGAGGTTTAGAAATTTGAATGAGGTATATCAAGACACAGTGGAGGTGGAGTTAACCTCTGACAGTGAAGTGGAAGCTTTATTAGCAGTCATGGAAGAACCATCTTGCTACCAAGATGCAGCTGGTGATGGGAATTGGATAGAAGCTATGGAGAGTGAAATTCAATCCATCAACAAGAACAAGACATGGGAGTTGGTGAAGTTACCAGCTGGTCAGAAGCCAATTGGGTTGAAATGGGTTTACAAATTGAAGAAAAATGCAGAAGGAGAAATTGTGAAGTACAAAGCTAGATTAGTTGCAAAGGGCTATGTTCAGAGACAAGGCATAGATTATGAAGAGGTTTTTGCTCCAGTAGCAAGGCTAGAAACTGTGAGACTGGTCTTGGCCTTGGCAGCTAACAGAAGCTAGGAGGTACATCACTTAGATGTCAAGACTGCATTTCTGAATGGTGAACTCATTGAGGATGTGTATGTGTCATAGCCTGAAGGTTTTAAAAAAAAGGGGCAAGAAGAGATGGTGCTCAAACTGAGAAAAGCTTTATATGGCTTAAAACAAGCTCCTAGAGCTTGGAATGTGAAGCTGGATGGCAGTCTAAAGAAGATTGGGTTTAGAAAGTGTGTGACAGAACCTGCTGTCTACACAAGAGGTGAGGGACTGTCAAAACTAGTACTTGGGGTGTATGTAGATGACCTGTTGGTGACTGGAGGAGATCCAAGAGAGATTGAAATCTTCAAGAAGCAAATGACCTCTGAGTTTGAGATGAGTGACCTTGGTTTGTTGTCATTCTATCTGGGTATTGAGGTAGAGCAAAAGAAAGATTTCATCACTGTCAAGCAAACAGGCTATGCCAAGAAAGTGCTAGAACAGTTTGGGATGAGTGATTGTAATGCAACAAGGATTCCAATGGATCCTGGTATGAAATTGGATGCTGATAAACAGGGTGAGAGAACTGATGCAACAAGGTACAGAAGAATCATTGGCTGTTTGAGGTACCTATTGCACACAAGACCAGATATGTCCTACTCTGTTGGTGTGGCAAGTAGGTTCATGGAGAAGCCTACTGTCAAGCATTTCAATGCAGTGAAGCAAATTCTGAGATATTTAAAGGGAACACTGAATCTTGGTTTAGTGTACACTCAGGAGAAGAAGCCAGAAGTGTGGTGGGTTACACTGACAGTGACAGTGGAGGTGATGTTGTGGGAAGAAGAAGTACAGGTGGCATGGTTTTTTATCTGAGTGAGGGGCTGATCACTTGGAATTCTCACAAAGAGAAAACTGTAGCACTGTCATCTTGTGAAGCTGAGTTCATGGCAGCAACAGCAGCAGCTAAGCAAGCTCTGTGGCTTAGGAATTTGCTGGGAGAGATTACTGGGACAGAACCAAAAGCAGTAAGCCTGTATGTTGACAACAGCTCTGCTATAGCATTGATGAAGAACCCTGTGTTTCATGGGAGAAGTAAGCACATAGATGTGAAGTTTCATTTCATCAGGGAATGTGTTGAGCGTGAGCAGATTGTTGTCAAGAAGATTCACACTCTTGAGCAGAAGGCAGATGCATTGACAAAGCCTATGTCTGCAGTCAAGTTCAGTGTGATGAAACATTTGCTGGGGGTCAGAGAACTTGAGCTTGAGGATCATCAGGCTTAAGGGGGAGATTGTTGGCGTAAGCCTGCTGATGTGGGACTTGTGGTAACGTGGATAGCAGCAGAGGCGAGAGCGGGAGCGCAGGATTTCAAATCGGGGATGGCGCGGGAGCAGTTGCTGATGCTGGTGATCGTGCTCTGGACCACGACGTAGTGCAGCAGTGGCGGTTTAGCTGAAAAGTGTCATGTTTTAAATAATCTGCGTGTGTCACAGTGTATGTTAACTATTGGTATAAATAGCATGATGCTTAGGGTATGAGTAAGTGTCTTGAACAGTTTGTAATCGGGTTTTGAATAAAAGGTGAAAAGGGGAGCCGATGCCCTGTCGGTTGCTCCTGGTGTTCATCGTAGTTCTTCCTTGTGTTCTTGAGCGTTCCCTTGCTTGTTTGATCTTACCACTGCACAATTGTATTGGTTTATGATCCTGATTCTTTAACAAAGGTACCAGTATTGGATTGGGAAAGAAGAAGCTCGACGACCCTGGGTAATTGCCGACAGTCGCAGGAGGAGTTCTGAGGAAAGCTTTTAGAAGTTGTCTAGTTAGCAGATGGTTGTGACATGACATTAGCCAAGCGACGAGGACTACAGATCATGTCCACTTCATTTAAGAACTTGAGTGGTGACTTGCACAAGCACATGAGGAATGGGACAAAACCACACAAGCACATGAAGAGAGGACACCAGATTCAATGCCGCCTTGGCTTCCTGCCCCAGCGCGCACACCACCGTCGTGACAGCTCATCAGCTGTGCGTGGCATGGTCACCTGCCTACGGCCACGACCGGCTCCAGTGTGGTCTCCAACTCCAGCCACCACCAATGGGATTTCCACGCAGCCTCGACTATGACTGGCGCCACACCGGGACTTCGTTCCTCCACTTCGACACAACTCGGTCTCGGTGTGATGTTGACCGGGCGGTTCTGGGTGGCGGGCGCCACGGGGAGGCATAGGGCGGATCTGGCTGGAGGGGAAGTGCGGTGACAGTTGGCTGCTCCGGTGCCACGGGGTGGCGGAGAGTCATGGCACGAGGTCCCAGAGAAGAGCTATGGCAGGCGGTGCTAAGGACGAATCGAGCGGCGATGGCGCCAGAGGTAGAAGGATAGAGCGACGGAGGTTGAAGACAAGAGAAGAAAGGTCATTTTCCCCATCTTCCCCCTAACAAACTGAAAAATCAATAAAATAACCAGTGCAGTGTCATAAAAAAACGGTAAATTTTATATGGTACTCGGCAAATTTCGACGTTGACTATGTCAATGTAGAATTCTACATTTGAACCGTGCCCCATAGCAAAGTTTTCCTTGCTAATAATTACAAGTGTATATTCTAGATAATTTATCTGGCTTGCTTGATTAACCATCTACAAAATAAACAGTATTGTCCTAGTGTGGACTGGTCAGCGAGCAAACGTTAGCGAGCAGTTCGTTTAGAAGAGAGGGGCAACTGGTTGTCAGATGCTGAAACCCATCATCATCCATGATCGTCTTTAGACTGCTGGGAGACTTGAGCAATCTGAGGCACGCGCGCCTCCTTGAGCCCTTTGCATCCACGCTGCTCTGTAAGCACCAATGTTGTCGTCACCATGCTAGTGCTGATGCACTCGCAAAGCTTGTACTCGCATATGAGCTTCCGCCTCTCTAGGTCATACCTATCTGGCTCCACAAGCAGATGCTGAGCCATGGCAACGGTATCACCCTTGTCCATCTCAGGCAGCGCGTCAGTGTAGATGAAGTGCAGCATAGCCTTGAACACTCTTGGCTCCATGTCATCAATCCGTACGTGGTTCTTCCTCTCCTTCATGGGACCGAGGAGTTCTGCCATGAATACCGAGGACCGAGCAGCGAGCACGACCCTATGCGCGGCGAACGTCTCCTCGCCGACCTGGAACGTGACGTCTGCTTCCACTCCTGACGACAAGACACTGCCGATATGCTGGTTCATGTCAGACGGTGGCACCGTGACGAACTGCGAGGTGACCTCTGTCCGGATCTCCTTGGAGACAGTGACATGGCACCTGACCCTGAAACAGTCGTCCTTCAGTTAGTCGGATTCCTCCAGGGCCTTCCTCTCAATGAATTTTTTGTACCCCCATGCGTATGAGGAGTTGTTGAAAGTGCGTATGACGCCGTCGCTTAAACAATACGACGGAACTGGTTCTCCGACGTTGTCAAGTAAACTGAACATATAGCTTGCATCAACACGCCTTGCATTGTTGTGATTGAGCTGCAGGTAGAATTCTATCCAACCAGCGCTCTCTTCGGTTTCACCATCAGGGTAGTACCTAATACACCAGAGATGGCCTCCGATGTCAAAGGGGCTCGAATTTGATGAATTTGCCATTGCCGAGTCCCTTGGTCCGGGAGTAGCCGTCGATTGATCTAGAGGACGTGCGACCCCTCCAAGGCCATGGCGACGATGGCCGAGGCGCGGTTTGCATCGCTGCTGCCAGCCACGGAGCACGACATGCACTCGCCAATATTGGAAGGATCAGAAATTCAGAATATAAATTTGCAGGCCGCAATGGCAAGTGGAGGGAGAGCGAGAGACTTTTATTAACCGAGATATGGCGATGTTGGGGGAACCCGAGTCGTTAGCCAATCTGAAACCGAGAAGGAGATGAAAATAAATCAGTACAGTTCTCGCTGATCAATCTCGTCTGATTGTTGTTGATAATCGATGAGGAAACGACTTTGTTACTCAAATATCACCTGGACCTTTTTTCGGAAGGGAAGGGGGAATTATATTAGAACTTGATACAACAAATATGTCTAAATTGCATATGAATTATTCTATAGTCCAAAATGCATATAAACCGTAAAAAAAACATCGGCATTGCATTGTTAGGTATAGCATATGTTGTAGATTAATTCATTACCTCCAACTATAGATGGACACCCGGCGATTTGGCCTGGCCTAGGCATGGCACGCTCCATGGCCGTCCCGATGGGCATCCGGCCAGTGCCGGCCTAGCCCAATGAGGGGGGTCATGCCTGGGTCGCTCCTTCGGTACGCCGTGCCTACCCAGCCTGTCCCGATTAGTAGAGGCCTACCAAGGCCTATCTCACTAGTCACATGCACCTCTCATCATATATGAACATACGAAAACTCAAACTCAATGTCGACTCCTGGCCGCTGCAGCCCTCTACATTTTCTCCTCCCTGCCAATTGAATCCACTACTACACAAAAATTTAACCGAGTCGTTTGAATTTTGGGCTCCGAGGAGATTGGGCCGGTTGCCCGCCTCGGTTATTCGTGGCAGGGCAGCCGGCCCAGCAACCACCTTGGTTAATGCTTAACCGAGGCGGGCAACGTAAAATAACCACCTCGGTTAATGCTTATTGATTTGTGATAATATTCTGTTTTCTCAGGTTAGGAAACTGGAGGCATACCTCATCAGTTATTGGTACAAGAAAGGGCACAAACCCATTAAGCATCCTTTGCTCCGATATGCAGGAAGCATTGTGAAATTGGACCCGTATCATGACTAAGTTACAACCGGAGCATGGCGTGATGATCTATGCTGCTCCTGCTGATACTAGAAATTCATTGGTTTCTCTTCTCCAGATCAGCAAGTGTAGAGAGATGGTGTTTGTTGCCGAGAAGATTACAAGCGAGAATATATGGTGTGTAGAGTTTTTCTTTTCTTTCTATCTTTTAGCATAATGGAATTCAGGGAAATATATTTTTGATAATCCTGTGTGTGAACATTTACTTTGTTAGTCCTTGGAAAATATAGTACGTGTAATAGCTTATGCAGTTCAGTACCCATTTACATCACCTTCGTTTTTGTTTTTGTTTTTTTTCAATCTATGTGGCACCTTTGCCGAGTGTAACACTCGGTAAAGAGGTCTTTGCATAGTGTTACACTTGGCAAAGAGGCCACTTTGCCAAGTGTCTGGGATGTGACACTCAGCAAAGATGCCTCTTTGCTGAGTGTAACACTCGGCAAAGAGGCCTATTTGCCGACTGCCCGATTTTTTTTGCCGAGAGCCGGTTTAGCACTCGGCAAATGCTTTGCTGAGTGTTTTCAGGGCTTGGCACTAGGCAAAGCTACTGTTTCTAGTATTGTATGTCCTGTGCATTTGCTTTGAGGGATAGCATCTAGTGGAACTAGAGGACTATGTTTGATACTATTCTATTGTTTCTCTTGGTGGTTGTCACCACCAAGATGGCAGGAGCATAGGTGACTCTCGAGGTGACAATACGGGTTCTTGCACTCACTCCCCACCTAAGAGACAAAGAGCAACATAAGTGGAAAAGGACCTTGTGATCGAGATGGCTCATAGACAATTGCTCACATCGCAGCCAACCTTGAGGGGTTGTTGAGCTTGTAGACAGTGGCGGACCTACAGGGTACGCCGGTAGGGCCACGGCATACCCTGCGTCCGGCCAATCATAGCACACGATCGGTGAGTGGCAGCACAAGATTCTTGCCTGTTCATTTGCCTCACGCAAAGCCACAATCCACGTGATGGCAAAAGAACATGACGGCTCAAGCGCAATGCGTCGCCCCGAAACCCAAACTCGTTAGCCCCCCGTCGTTCCTTGCCAACACCTGACGTCATCATTGAGTCGCCGAGAGCCTGATATCGAGGCCTGCAGGCGGATGGCCCGAGTGAGGTCGATTCATCAATCCGACCGGTTTGGCGGCGACAATCAACCGCTCGAGTCCAAGCACAGTCGCGTGCAATTGAAGCTGTGCAAGCCGGAGAGCCTATGCCGGTGCCCAGCATCTAGCGGGCAGCAACACAATGAATAGATCCGTCCAGCGTCCACCATGAAGAGACCAGGAAGATCATTGGTCAGCATTAGATCATGCACAAATTATTCCGAACGATGACTATCAGCAGCATGTTTCGTACGCAGCCAATCATGAACTTGAAACTGACGTTTCGAACGATGACATCAGCAGCATGTTTCATACGCTGCTTGGCGTGGAGCAAATGCTGCCGTATAACTGCAGACATCAACTCACGATCATGCAGCCAACTAGCAATGTCAGTAACAGGCTGCTCATCCGTGGAACTGATGCCAAAATGTGTAGGAGCATATCCATAAAGCACCTCAAAAGGAGATGGCCCCAGTGCCAAATGCCAACTCGTGTTGTACCAAAACTCGGCTAAGTCAATCCACTGATGCCACTGTTTGGGACAAGCATGAACATAGCAATGCAAGAAAGT